TGCCGACCAGCTATAGGCATTGGAGACCATCTGCCGACCACCCTTGGTGGTGAAAACCAGAAAAGGTGGTCGGCCTGCCAGAAAACCTGGTCGGCCGGCCAGTTTCTTCTCCTGGTTTCTGCATTTTCTGCAACAAAGGCGAGAGAGAGAGAAGGCAAAGTATTTTCAACATATGTGTGCCCGACCACTCTCCCCGTCATTGCATAAGCTCTAGGGAGTGTAGTCTTCGATCCTCGTGCCATCAATCACGCATCCCGATGCATGATGGCCGAAGAGTCGAATTGCACGACTCAGTACTCCTTGTGCTCCAAGCTTCTCTTGACGGCGTTTACCTGGCAACATAGAAACGGTGAGCTGTCCGGCGGTGGTGTGCCGGATAGACCCTCCGACGATCAAGTCAGTCCACTAGAGGAAGGAGAAGACAGATAGAGAGAGTATTTTCTTTTGGGGGAGAAGTTGCATACCTCTAACGTTCGTCTTCCACCATATTTCTAGGCTGGCCATGCAGCCTCAAGATTATGCGCGCACTACCTCTGCTGTCCTTCCCTGGACAGGTGGCAGTGCTCGCCTCCCACCACCTTACGCGTGTAAAGGCTTAGTCCTTCTACCAGTACACGCAGAACTGTCTAACGGTATTGAGGCATGCGTGGAGCAGATGTCCTCTCCCTCGTGCCATTGGCCCAGGTGGCACACCTGACCGTAGTACCACGACCGGCCTATCTCCTGCGAAGAACTATCACTACAAGCACTCAACAGAGCTATGCCCCACCGGACTGCCCTTTGGCAACAGGGCAGAGGGGTGATACTCATGGGCCGGGCTGGTATTGACCGGTTTATCGTGGCATACCGGTCGCGAGGCATGCCGGCCTCCGTCCGTTCTACCTTCATCCGAGGTTATCTGGAATCTGCCCATCTCGGCTAACCGGTCAGAGACGTGCCATCCCTCACTTGTCCGTAGTTTAGCCCGAGCTACCCATAGCCCGATCTCGCCACTTAGCTGTGTGCCCTACCGAATGTTTGCTAGTTGCAGCTCGGCCAGGCTTAGTTCACGCCCGGTCAGCCGATCTTTTCGACCGAGCAAAACAGACCCACCGGCCCTCTCAATAGAGGAAATAGCACGGCGCCGTGAGGTCTGTCACGACCCGCCCTATCTTAGCTCGGCCGTAGTAACGGCACAAATCTCCCCTCTCAATATTCTACTTGAATTACTCCATAAAACTACCAATTAAGCTCGAATTCTTCATTATTAAACTTGAATTTCATGAACTCATGGGTGATACAACTCTATTTCAACATAGATTACATGATTCATGCTCAAAAATAAGATTCCATGGTAATTTCTTGCATGCATGTATGATTCATTACCATTTTCTTCATTTTGATTCATTTCTTACACTTAATCACAAGTTCTTCTTGAATTCACAAACGATATGACTTCAATTCACAATTTAAAGTTCAATTACATACCTAGAGTCCTTAATGGCACAAATTCTAGCAAAATCTTGTATTATCTTCTTCAATTCTTCAAGCTTCTACCAAGAATCTTCATGTTGAGCTCTCTTTCTCTCTTTGAATTGTTCTCTTTCTCTCTCTAGAGTTCTCTCTCATATTTGAGCTCAAGAATATGAGCTTAAACACATTCATATCATTTATATTGGCTCAATTTGTTTGATTAATCAATCAAGCTTAAGCTAGATAATTAGAGCTTAGATTAATTGAATTTAATCTAATTAATTTGATCTGAATTAATTTTTAATTAAATTTCAAAATAGACTATAAAAATTACGCTGATCACAATAAAGTAAGCAATTTTGGTTTCTGTCACTTTTACGGCCCTCAATTTCAAATTTTAGCAGAATTTTGAATAGATTTTCCTACGATGAACATATATGAATTCAAAATGCATACCAAACTCATAAGTAGCATTCAAAATTACATTAAACACATAATCAAATGTATAATTAATGAAATAATAGTTTAACACGGAACATGGTTGTTGTAGACACCCCATTTTTGACTGTCCTCAAGACATGGACGTCACCGTTTGAACACTCGGTGATTATCCATGTTTGTGTTCGTTTGGAGTTCCCGGAAGTCTCGGCTCGCGCGCCTTGCTTCAGGATCCCCGAACTCGACCGTTTAGTGTCTGTTTTGCACCCTGACAGTTGCTCAAAGAAATTAGTAAATGGAAATTTTTGAAGCCTTGTAAGCGTATTGATGGTTACTTGTATTCTTGCAAGAATTTAGGAGAGAAAGAGAGTTACTTGTATTCTTGACAGTTACTTGTATTCTTCCAAAATGTATGGCATTAAGAAAATTTTACTACCATTCAATCCAAGTTCTCTAGATGTGGGACATCAACAATACATTCAATGATATACGTGCATACCATAAATAACATGTTCAACTTGTTTGCCTCTTTCTTTTTCTTTTTTTTTCCTTTTTGATTAATTAAATCCGAAGCATGCATAAGTTAAAACTTTTATAAGTGAAACATGTTTGCTTTTTAAAAATGAAGAATCCCAGGTTACATGGATAACTGGGAAACGTCAAGTACCTGAAGCAATTCCTTCTCATGAGAGGCCTTCCTGGGACAATAGTTCACCACCAAACATTGTTAAATCAATCTGCAAAATAAAGTTCAATTATTTGATAAGTAAAAATAAGATAATTTGGAGAGAAAAAAAAAAAAACTGCTTAGAAAACAGAATTCAAGACAGGCTGTTCTTATACAAGCACTCTGTATAAAAAGTTTAGGTGAGTATATATTTCTTTTACCAGGTACACATCCATAATGTATAGAGTCTGCTATGCGATCACTATTGACTTATGAACCACCGGGCATATGCAGAACTTCGTGGTATAGAATTTCTGTAGGTATACCAAATGTCCAGTGCCTCTAGTTATTCTGTTGTTCTGGATATCAAGTTCTGTGTCATTCTCTCATTCACTTGCTAGTGCAGCTCTCATTTCAGAATTGCGATGACCTGCCCAAAAACCAAGCATTTTCCTGTACATTGTGCTAAGCTGATATTAGTAGGAAATTTATGAAAAGTATTGTTCCTTCCACTAACATGAAGTTTAATTTGCAATTCAGTGGAAGCATAAACACAATGTCTAATAGATAGTGAACCACAAAAACATTAAGCAAGCTAGACATTTGAACAGAAAGGCCATGAAGGATCAACGCCAGGTCAAATCAAGCAAAACAAAGTCTTATTGGACCTTGTCCACCCCTTCAAAAAAAAAAAAAAGTATGCTCAAAAGGACTTCTGCAGCAAGATTTCTAATGTTTGAGCAATAAAATTTATTATGACCCTTTGACAGTAATGTTCAATAAATTACTAAAAGGAAAAACAGAAAGACAAGAAAGAAAAATAGTGGCTACTATGGAGATTTCATTATTATAGATAAGAATATCCGCTGTGGGTTACCCTGCTGAGCTTAAAGGATACATTATAGCAGATGGCATTTTCTCTATTATAACTACGACCTTCAGATGGTAATTAAGTGCCCAAAGAAGATACACACACAACAAAAATAAAATAAAATCATTATGTTCTGCCATTAGATGCGACAGACTATAGCATGTTTCCTTTACCACCATAACCCACTCTTCCTTCCCCACTATAGACCACAATGATTGGTAACAAAATTTGGAGAGAGAAAAATTCATAACATAATCCTAAGGGTTTGTAATTAAGATTTTATTTATTTATTTTATGGTGCACCCTTCATAAGTATTGGGGAGCGAGCTTGCACTGGCTGCTATTCAAGATCAAGACAAAGCTAGATTTATAAATGAAGATATGAATCAAGATCTAGGAAAAGGAAACATTTATCCCACAGGAAAGAATTAAGTCAATAAAGAGAATTAAGATGCCTCTTTACAAAGTTGGAAGTGATATCATATCACTCAACCTTAGGAATGTGATGAGAATACCACACAGTTGCATCAGTTGCTATTATAAACAATGAGAACTGAAATAGTTGGCTTAATCTACAACCATACCCAAAGCCATCTCAACAAGAAGTAAAATAACTAGAGCAAGGAGCCATGCCTGCATAATCAAGATAGTTAACTATGTCGAAATTAAAAGACATTGAAATGAAAATTAAATAAGAAAAAAGAAAATAGCAATTAAAGAATAAAAGAACCACTCAATTGCTTTCTCATAAATTTCTTGTCAGTAAAAGACTTCCAAACAACATAGCTCTTATTGGTCAATCAAATCTTCAAAAAACTCAAATATCTCGTCCCATTTAACAGCTAATACAGGCAAAATGATATTTGGAATCTTCAGTGGACTCGAAAAAATTTGTTCTTGTCACAGAAAATTTCACCATTTTCTAACAGCCTACTTCTTGTTCAGTGATTATGAACCATCATCATATATTCTAAATTATTTGGTCTTTTTTTTTCTTTACTTGTATTGATGTGACCTGAATTCTTTTCTTTTTTTTTATTATTATTTTTATATTCATATTGCATCACCAAAATTCACTATAAAACAATCAAAACCCACAATAATTGAAATCATCCATTTGATTCTAGGGTCCAGATGATACAACAAAGTAGAGCTGAGGCTTAAGGCAACTGTGCATGGTTGAGTTGGAAAGCAAAAACAAATTAAACCATACTAAATTAAATATATATTTTCTTCTAATTCCAAGCAACCCCAACAGAGAAAAATCAAAAACATTCGAAAACCCAACCATAAGAACAAAAATTACCAATTTAATCCTAGGGTTTTAATGAATCTCAAAAACCCATCAACTAAACCACAAATTGCAAACAACCCAACAGAGAAAAACAGCAAACATGCAAAAAAATAATAAGAATAAAGTTAAGAAAAAAAAAACACAAGAAAAAAAAAAGAAATACAAAGCAGAAAAAAAGATAGCATCAAAGAATAATAATATGAATTGAAAAGAATCAATCTTATCAATTCAATCAGAAACATTGTTCCTACAGTGCAATCTAATAAGAAATAACGTCAAATAAGCAAGAAAAAAAATCTTTAAAAAGCCCTAGCAATCCAACTAGAAGCTAGAGATATAATGGTTCTCCTCCCCTAGTTCAAAACTCAATAGAAAGCAGATAGAATTGCAGGTTATGCTAGGAACCTTTGACAAAGAAACAAATAACTGAAACGAAGGAAGTACAAAGGAAATAGAACAGAGATTCAGATAACAAATTGAGAGAGAGAGAAATAGAATATAGAGCAAAGAGCGGACAAATCTACCTGAGCTAGAATGAAGAGGCGATGGTGTAGCACAACAACGGTAAATGGCGAAAACCTGACGGTCGACAAATACCTATGCGAGTGTGCGATTGTGAGAGGGAGAGAATTTCCAATCGTGAGAGAATGGCTGTGCAAGGTGAAAATCGTGGAGATAGAATAGGGGTTTTACCTAGCAGCAAAAAAAAAAAAACTGAGAGGGGAAATTGGGAGGGAAGGTAAAAAACAAGGTCTTGTTTGGTTTGAGTTCAACTTTCTATTTTATTATTATTATTGTTTTTACTCATCCAAAACAAGCTTTCTACTCTTTTTAAATATATTTTAAAATTAAAAATTATTCATATACTTTATAAAATTATATAACATTGATAAGTACTTTTGAGTTTATTTGGTTTCAGTTTTCTGAATTTAATTTTTTAAAAATTGAGTTTTTTTTTAGTTAATATTTTTAAATTTTAATTATTTTTTTTAAAACTTTTTTAGATGCACCTTACTTAGATGTATCTAAAAAGTAAAATATTTGTGAAAAAATATTTTAAAAAATTAAAAAATACAAAAAATATACTAAATTTTGGTTTTTTTTTTTAATTTTTGATATTTAGTGAATTTTAAAAAAAATCACAAAAATTATATTTTTTAATTGTATTTATGTTAGGTGTGTCCAAAAAATTTCATTTCCCCCCTCCTGGTTGTTCAAATTTCCCTCCCAAACTTGTGGCGACCAAAAGACCAAATTAGTCGCAGAAAAAGTACCTTCGCCGACAAACTTTTTTAGTCGCCAAATCTCAATCAACGGCGACTAAAATATTGGTCGCTAAAAATACAAATTTGGCGACTAATTTTTTTTGGTTGCTGAAAATAAATTTTTGGCGACCAAAAATTTGGTCGCCAAAAAATATGTGACCTTCCGCGACCAAATTTGTAGTTAGTCGGGAAAAGTATACCACTTTCTGCGACCAACTCATTTTTTGGTCGCCAAAATATAACCTTCTGCGACCAATAATATTTGGTCGCCAAAAACAATGGTCATTCGCGACTAATTAATATTTAGTCGCCAAATGTCATTTTTTTGCGACTAAAATTTTTTTGGTCGGCAAAAGTGGTCGCCAAATGTGTAAATTCTTGTAATGCTTATACTACACAATCACTAAGTCAATGGCCTTGATTGTTGTCGTGCAACCTTAGTTCATCCAATTAATGTAATCGTGGATTAAGGTTTTCTCTTTTTCCCTCAAGCAACATAATTTTAGTGGTAAAAAAATAAATAAAATAAATAAACTGGCGGTACCTATTCAACTAATATAATTATGATAAATGAAAGAGCAGTATTATTTAAGTCAAAAAATTAAACCCATCTTTCAAACTTAATGATGTAATACTATTAAGATATCTAAGACAACTCCTCTCATATCTTAATTAGCAAGGAATCATATCTTTCATACATTATTGAATTTAGAAAGTGGACTTTTATATCATTTTTCTAAATAAAATGATAAACCCAATATAGCATATAAATATGATTAGGGGGAGTTTACAGGCCAGTCCTGGTCCAACAACTTAATACCCACTAGGTCCTAGCCCAAAATTGTAACCCTGTTTTTTCAATTTTACCCTAGCCCAAAACTTGCTACCTAGTAAATCGCCTGCTACCCATCGTCATCATCTTCGGCCGCTCGCGATCATCTCCAGTGATAGTTTCTGGCAACCACCTTCAGTAATAGTTTTTGGCGACATTTTTTTGGATTTTTTTCAACAAAAATAAACATCTATCATCACATCACATCATTATTGTAACCACAAATAACACTCAATCATTCATTCTCATACACTCATTTACTCACATTTACATACATATACACACTCACTCACTCACTATCATTTACTTATTCACTTATTCACTCACAGAAACACAACCACACATACGCATATACACAGAAAAAAGTAACAAAGACTAATCTAATAAACTAATCAAAAATACATTCAGTGATAAATTTATCACTGATCAATTTGTAAAAAAATTACAAACGAAAACTTTTATTTGATCACTCTTACTCATGTTCCACTTATCAGAATCCATCATCATTCCTCACATACACAGAGGGAAAAAAAAAGTAAGAGAGAGAGAGAGAGAGAGATAGTGTGGTGATTTTATCATTAATTTTTTTTTTGAATTCGAATCGGATTTGCAACAGATCTAGTTATAGAGAGAGAAATAGAGGAGATCTAAAAAATCATTATTGTTTAGAGTCGATTTCATTACTTAAAACAACTAGATCGGTATAGATAAACGATGGTTAAAGTGGATCGGTGATGGCAAAATATAGATTAGCAACGACGAAATGTAGATCTGCAATAGTGGAGTGTAGACCTGTTATGATGGAGCTAGAAATGCGATGGTGGTGGTGGATCTAAGATGGTGGTGGTGGCGGTAGCCAACGATTGTGTGATGTTTTTGGAAAAATGATGGAGATGAAGAGAGAGAGAAAGAGAAAGAGAGAGTGAGTGAGAGAGAGAAATAGTAGAGAGAGAAGAGTTTTCTCAAAGAGAAAGAGAAAGAGAAAGCCGGCACAAAAGAAAGAGAAATAACAAAATATTATTTAGGTTAACATAAAACACTCAAGGGTTAAAAAAAAAAAAACACAAACACACACACACAAACACAAACACAAACACAAACACAAACACAAACAAACAAACATCTAATAACAATCTATTGAAGTTTAAACTACAATTCGAATTGCAATAACATAAATAAAATAAAGGGCTTAGAGGCAAACCTAACAATTAAAACCACAATAGAATGAAAGCAAGCTTGAATGGAATGGAACTCAATTTCAAATTAATCAAATTTTAATCCTCAGTAATAGTAAAAGCCTATTTCATCTCTTTGTTGCAGTATTAGGTAATCCTATACAATAGCCTCCCCAGAAATTCTAAAAATTAATTTGCCCTAAATTGTAAGTAGAAAATAGCATCAGAGAACTAAACACAATTCCAAAATTATACAAACAATAAACAAATAAAATTTGTTCAATCGGACAAAAACTTGAACTAATCACTATGTTCTTCATACATATACGTATATATGTATTTATAGGCAGAGAGAGAGAGAGAGAGAGATTGAAAAAATACCAAATCGCTATTGAATCAAAATTTTCTATGATCTCTTTTAGAAACCAAATCAATCTTGTATATATCTATAAAAAATTGAAGAAATGATAGAAGATCTCATAATTTGTATGTGTGTATAACAAAAAATGATAGAAGATCTTAGAAAATTGTGGGTGAAGATGAAAATCTCAGCAGCCATGAAAATCATTGATTTACCTTCGGATTAAAGCCAAAGAACTCAGATTTGCATTGGAGCCATGGAAATGAGATTGATCATGGCAAGTTAGGGCAAGAAGAGCCCTGGACAGAGATTAATCAATTGATTGTGAAAATGAGATCGATTGAAGATGAAGATCTTCATTGGAGTCCTAGACAGAGATTGATCGATCGATTATGAAAATGAGATCGATTGAAGATGAAGATGAAGATCTCCATTGGAGTCCTAGAAGGAGAGAATTTGGCAAATTAGGGCTGAAGAGAGAGAGAGAGAGAGATAGAGAGAGAGAGTCTCGACTTTTTGTATGGGTTCTGTTTTAGCCTCGACTTTTTAATTGTGACAAGGTAAAAAATTTTAGTCCCTAAATGTTTTTAACTGGTAATGATAAAAATATTTAGTCTCTAAAGGAATTAATTGTGTATTTATAACTAAATTAATTTGTCTAAAAAAAAATATATGAATATTATATAAATCAAATAAGTGAAAGAGTAAGAAAGTTTAACTTTGTCTTTAAAGAATTAGTTTAAGAGACTAAATTTACTTAGTCTCAAAAATTAGCAATTGAATTGCAAAATAGGAAAGTACCTCTCACTACTGAAGGAGCAGGTACAAGATCAGGCACGGTAACAACATACACACGCCCTGTTGGCCTCTGATCTACCTGCTCACCTCTCGGAGGATAGGCCTGCTATACTGACTGAGCTGAAGAAGCTCCCTGATTGGCCTTCGAGGCCTGTGTTGACTGTGCTGGCTAGTGACTTGGTGTCTGCCTCGAACCAAATGCACCGGATGTACCACCCAACTATGGACAAGACCTCTCCAAGTGCCCCGTCTGGCCACACTGATAGCAAGTGGGTGGCTGTCCTCTACCCTAACTCTGGTGACCCAACTGACCACACTTGAAACAGGTCATATCTCCCTGACCACCTCTCCCAGAACCCGAGCTGGGCACTAGAAAGGTAGACCTCGACTGAACTCCCTGGGACTGCTAAAGGTTAAAACCCCTCTATCTCTTTCTGTCTCCCTGACTACCCTAACTTCTCCTGGAGCCCCTCATCCTCTCCTCCCCTGCTTGTATGATGGTCTCCAGATGAGCCGCCGCCTCCACAAGGCGTCCATAATCTCTAATCATGGACCTGGCCACTCAAAACATGAGTTCGGTCCTCAACCTCTTCTCGAACTCCAAACAAAGGCGCTCCTCTGTCGCCACCAACTCAGGTGCAAATATAGAGAGGCTAGTGAAAGTGGCCTCAAACTCGGCTACAGGTGTGTTCAACTGCTTGAGGCGAGAAAACTGATCCCTCAACTTTTCCCTAACAGTAGGAGGCAAGTACTTGTCTTGGAAGGTGTCAACGAAAGCCTTCCAAGTCCCTCTAATGCGTCCTCTTGCATACTTCCACTATTGACCCGTGTCTCCTTTCAACTAGAAGGACGCCAATGTCACTCTCAAACCCCTGTCTTCGATGCCAAGCATCTCAAACGTTTTCATCATCTATTCCAGCCATTCATCAGCCTTCAGTGGTTCCTTTGGGTCACTCAATAACTCATCCGAATTTGACCAAAAAAACTCCCTCTTCAGAAAAGAAGGCCCTGCTTCAGCTACCTGGGCTTGAACTTGATTCTCAGCTCTGAGAATGTCCATTGATTCCCTCAATGCTCCGGCCATTTTGTGAGCTAAGGCGCCCATGGCCTGCTGACCTACTGGTTCGGCCACATTGGCCTGACCAACCCCTTCTTCCTACGTCGGAATCTCATCTGGTATAAGCACCTCGTGCCTCATAGGCCTACCACGCCTACCTCCACGACCACGTCCTGACATCCTAATGAAGGTAACACAAGAAATTAGCACATTCACAAATGTGCCAAAGCTAATTCACTCGCGTCCTAATACATTAGACAGCAGTAATTCACTCCACATAATCATGTAATCACATAAACACATACGAATTTCATCTTCGGATAATGACTGTCCTGTGGCGTTGCAAGAGTTCCAATTAGAAATAGCAGTGATCAAGTGCCTTTTTAACAGGACTCTTAGAAACCCGTAGACCCAATCAACATC